GTTTCACGACTGTGGTTAAACAATAATTAACTTTAAAGGAACCAAAAATTCGAAAAGGGGACGGAAAAAGGACACCTATCGCACAAAACTCTGGATAAAGCTATCTGCAGTTGTACTCAAAAAAATTTTAACAACACCCTTACTAAAAAACTAATATTTGTGTGTTTGTGGTTTCAATTTTCGTGGTTTCTTACAAAAAATTAAACCCAACCAAAAAAAAAAAATAAAAAGTTTTGTGTTTTTGCCCCGGGAAAACAAAAAACTCTAGAGACAAAAAAAATTTTAACGGGTAACATAAAAGGAAAAAAAACGGGGAAGACAAAAAGGAAACCAAAGGGAACGTCACTCAAATTCCAAAACCAAAAAAGGAGCCCCAATTTGTGTGGGAGACCCTAGGGTGAAACCCTTTTTTTTTATGCTTCCTTTGTTTTTAATAGGCAAAACTTTCCCGCGGTGCCCTTGTTGCTGGACGGGAGTTTTTGGTGTTAGTCTCTCAAAAAAACCCAAAGCGAAACGATTGGTTTGCCCTAATTAATTGTTACCGGTAGAGAATTTATATCAGACGTACTTTTTGGAATAAAGGGATGCCGAAAGGGACAAAAAAAAAAAAAATTTACTTTTTTACAAAAACAGGGAAACGGGGAACAACGCATTCTAAGGTCCTTAAAAAGCCTTGGTACCCCGCCTTTTTTTTTTAAGCCAGTTTCCGCTTTGTAGCGAAGAGTAAAGAAGGCGGAGTGTGGTGTTCGGTTGTGGCAAGGTCTTTTTAACGGTAAGCGGTTAAAAAACCAAAAAAAGTCAAGAAATAGGCTTCGGGCCCTGGGAGCGCGGACCGGGTACGCGCGAGGGGGGGTTTCTTTTGCTCCTGGGGTTGGGTGTGTGTGTGTGGTGGTGGTGGTGTTGGTTTTGTGTGTGGTTGTGTGTGGGGTGGTGGTTGGTGTGGGTGGTGTGGTGTGTGGTTGTGGGTGTTGTGGTGTGTGTGGGTGGTGTGTGGTGGGTGTGGTGTGTGGTTGCGTGTGGTGGGGTGGTGGGTGTGTGTGGGTGGGTGTTTGGGTGTTGTGTGGTGTGGTTATTCTCCTTTGACTTTCAGAGTAAGAGTAGACATGGCTTGAGTTTACACTCTCATACTGGTGTAACATGTGAACGACTAGCTTGTTAAATCCAATGCTCCCCCCTGATATGTCCTTTACTGAGAGTAGAGCTGCAGACTCACCTTTCCAGGCGTTCGTTTCGTGCCGTTGGTTTGGCCCAGTCTCCATCCTCTCTGGGCTCCTCCACCCAGCGGTTGTTTCCTCCTCCTCCTCCACCACCACCTCCACCACCACCACCTCCGCCTCCACCGCCGCCTCCACCACCACTGAATCCACCGTGATCAAACCTGAACACAACAGAAGATACAACAAGAGTTACGCTACCATGTTCACCAAAGAGTTAGACTTTTCACATTATTGTCCCCGCGTCTCATCTCTACTCGCCTTCCTCTGTTGGCGTTTCCTGTGTGATTGAAGAAGGCAGACTTCCCTCGGTTGTTGCCAAAATTGCCGTAAGTTTCCTTGGGCGTGTTCCAGCCACCTGCATCTGGCAGAAAGACTAAATATAAAAAAGATATACATCTATATGTGTATGCCCAATAACATGCTGCAACAAATATAGTTGATCAACATTCAAACGTTGTATTGTCATATGCACATAAGCTACAGTGTAGAAAGAGCAATGCAATTCTTCTGGCTTTAGCTCCTCCAACAATGCAACATATAATTAAATATTAAAAAGTAGTGCAGTGTAGCAGTCTCTTTCTTAAATCTGTATAATAACATACTTTAAAAAAAATGTTTTACAATCCCCTCTGTGGGAATAATACAGCTATTCTGATCTGATTTAAAAAGGAGGCAGGATACAAGGATAAATCTAACAATATATAAAATAAATACATATAAATATGAATAACTTGCAGTAAAAACCGAAGCCCACCTTTGTTTTCGTAGCCGGCGAACGCCATTGGTTGCACCGCGGGGATGATGGGGTTGAAGGCTCCGCCCCTGTTGCCACGGTAACCCCCTCCGATGCCACCGCGGCCCCGCTCCATGCGAGGCGGACCTCGGTGTTGAAACGTGTTGGCGCCTGCCATGCGGTTGTCATGGTAGCCGTTCACAAAGTTGTTGCGACCCGCATCCCAGCCATCTGCAAAATGTTTTCCCATAATCCCGAATATAAAAATATGTATATCCTATATATACACAATCAACAGACACATTTATACATATGCACACATTAAGACATACATAAAAGCACAACAATCAATATATACAAAATAATTGTCTATTTAATATATATCTCATAATATAATGAGATTAAAAGGGATCCTAGTTTCAGAGGACACTATATGTATTGTACACAATTTGTTTATATATATACACACTATGTTTGTATGTATAGTATATTGGTATATAAGTGAGTATACTAGTATATTCTGTATATTTTAAGACGCATAGAGGAGGTAACAAACCAGAAAACACAGTGAGGAGCGATACAGATGGGAATATCGGTATACAAAATGCAGATTTCAGCAGATTTAGACTCACATGTTGCTGGCGGTGCGATGGTGTATCCCCCCGGTCGCTGGGCAGCGAAGGCATTTCCTGCTGGACGGAAGAAAGTGTTTCAGTTGTGTTTACCATTAGTGTTTTCTTTTTAAAATGCACTTGATGAAAAGGTACCCTGTGGAGTTTCTGACCCCTGGTAGCATTATGGAGCAACGTTTTTCCAAGCGGCGCCTCGTTTTGTTTGCATACTTTGACACAAGCATGCAGGCGTAGCGAAAGAACACTTTCTCTATCAGCGGCTCCTTGATGTGTTAGTGGGGGAAAACGTGGCGATGCAAGAGCAAAGGCACAGAAGAAGGCGACTGCCTAGCTACCTAACATTGATGTCAACAATGTTTAAAAAAAAGAATGGGCTTTGTAAATCTTTCACTAGGAAGGATATAAGCTCAATGACTCACACAATGTATAGATTTTGGTGAGTAAATGTAAACCAAACTCAATATTTGTTTAAAAGAAAACTCCACAGGACAGCTTTGACTGAACTTGCTAGACACCATTTCTGGAAGCTTCATTGTTCCTAAAGGATTGTTAAAAACCTTTTGAAGCACACCCAACGTGCATTGATCTGTGGTGCACCTCTGAATCTAGAAACCAAGGAAATACGATATATGTTGTACTTCTGAAAATGGAAAAAGAAAGTGTTCCCCTTGGTTGCTTTCCTGATGGTTTCTCTGTGGAGCTCTTCTTTGTTTCAGCTTAGTTGCCATAGTGTATTAGTTTTGGGTGCCTATGCACATTTATTTGAAGGGAAAAGGAGTTCAAACAACTGCTTACGGTTAGGGCCTCCACCTTGTCCGTCTGCCCCACTCAAGTCTAGGACAGCCAACTGGAGAAACACACAGAAAAACCACAAACATAGTCATTTCAGCAGAACAAATCTAGCATTTTGTTTCTTCTTGCACCAGGTGACACCTACACCTGCTTGGAAATAAAAGCCAACCATGTATTTTTGGATTATTCATCAGAACTAGCAATGCAAAAAAAGCATTGGAAACAGTTTTTGAGAGGTCCAGATTAAAAAACATTTTTCTGATGCCCTAATTTGATTAAATATATAAAAATATTTCAAACTCGACATGCAGAAATTCCATTAGGGCGATGTCAACAAACTGCATTCAGCTCAGAACAAAAGGGTCACATCCAATGATTACCATGTATGTATTGTACCTTTCATACTGATGTAATTTATTATCTCACACTGGTGGACATGTGTTTCTATATATCATGTATTTGTTATTATGCTAGTTTTGTGACTACCTGTGCAGGGACACAATATGCAAATTAGTTTCTACCTTACTCTGGTGCAGAAATAAACAATAAAAGTAATAAATATAGTGAATTTCCGTCCTGGGTATGCAATGCTCCTCTACACTGCTGCAATATTTAGTGCTTTTAGCTAATAACAAGGTTTGATTTCTCCATAAAAAACATTACCAGAGCCGGTTTTTTTGCATCCTAAGAGAACAAAAATGACTGTTTTGTTGTACATGCAACGCTTTCATAGACATGTTGCCAATTAGACCTTTGCATAATATCAAGTGAGAACAAATAGTACTTTACTGTTGCCATCCAACTGTCTGTCCAGTCAGACACAACTAGACTACGTTGATGGTGACGCAGAAGGAAAGAGCTTTTTTTTTTTTTTTTAAAGCGGGACGCAGTGAAGACTAACTATGCAATAATGCTTATGCACTGAAAGCTAGAGGGCTGTACTGTAAAACCCCGCATTGTTGGTGTGTCAGAGCCACCATCCCTGCAACCTCCATTTTATTACTGTATCTAGCTGCAAGAGAAACGCAGTGAACAGAATAGTTGAAGGGGGTGTTTCATATGTTCACCGGGGAGAGCCGAATTAACCATTCGGGCGTAAATAGTAATTTGGCTCTTTAGACATGTTATTTAAAGCTACTAAAATAAGCTTTCTTGTATCATGACGAATGTCTTTTTACTGTAGCCCACATGAATATAATGTAACAGACTATTCGGGTTCAAATAAATCTAAGTACTGCTCCATCACCGCCCCGCCGTCACTCCTGGTCATGTGGGTGGCGAAATGAAGCGCACCCAACGCTAGGTAGCATGATAGCATCTCTTAGCTTTTCTTTTAGGCTAGCCGGTAAGCTAGCACATATCCACACGATTACAAACAACTTTTCCGCCACAAACACTGCAAGACACAATACAAACAGATTCATTTTACCTGCTGCTCTAGACCGTGGACATTTTCGACGGCCACATGACTCATAACTATTGAATACGGAGGAAAAATGTTGTCGTTGAAAGAGATCCTCTTTGTTAGCCGGGTTTTTGATGCAATGTTATTTCTCCTCTAACGCGTTTCTGGGCAGATTGCGTCAGTTGTTTCAGTGGTTTTACAAGCTATACCGTTGTAAAATGCTAATCTTGAATTTTACGTGATGATAAATTCCTATTTTTTTAGCTACAAGGATGGCACTTCATGCAAACTCAGCTGATGTCGGTTTGCTCTTTAGCCGAAGATGAGGCCGTCATGCACTAGTTAAGTTGGCCTGAAAAAAGACGACAATACACATCCGGTTGTGTCAAAATTAAAGTCGGTAAACTGAAGTCACTATGTTACATAATATGTGCAACACAACTTCATCTATATGATATATTATGTCGCTATATTAAATGAAAATATATGCTTCGTGTTCGCACCATTGACACCAAAGCAAATTCCTCGTATGTGTAAACTTACTTGGTTTTAAAAACGATGCTGATTAAATAGGACCTATAATTGCTAGTTGTGTTGTTTATAAAGGTAACCATTTGCTGCACATTTCACATATCGATTGATTGATTGATTGAATGTAACAGGTCTCTTATGTAACATTTTAAAAATGTATCTGTCGTCTTATCTTACTTCCGTTGGCGCACAGACCCCTTAACTTGATTGACGCATGAGATGTTGTTAATCCAAAACACGCGAGACTTTAACCACAGTTTGTCGCGATACCTTCACTACAGTAAAGTGCAGATTACCAGCATGGATGACGATCAGATGTCATCCAGTTAAGTTTATTAGTTTATAAGACTTCCCATGCTGAACACACATTTTTATAAAGCTGAAAGGTCATTATCAATCTTGGCTGGAAAGCAGGCTTATGTTCAGCCTTATTTTAGCAAATGTATCAATTGAATGTGTCTTGTGGGGAATCTTTCAAACTTATTCCTAAATCCTGATCCTTATATAGATCCTTATATATTTACAGCTTAGCAAAGTGCAGTTTATGAAAGGAAACTCCCCGTTCATGTCTGGACGTCCCGTGGTTGTGGGTTTGGAGAAAGGCTTCCCACTTGTGGTGGAAATGAATAATAACTGTTTCCACAGTTTTACTTAGGCCTCAATTTTGTGTTTTATATTCCATTAATTTAGTAGACAAATTGGGAGGGCCAGTTCAAAGAAGATGGGACTCAAATTTCTACTTAAGCTTTGAAAGAGCCACTAATGGTTCCTTTTTGCCTAAAGGTCAGAAATGAGTTGCATATTGGACCACAATTGGCTTTTTCAAACCGTGTGAAAATCTATTTAGGATTCGGACATGTCTTCGCATGAAAACTAGGCACAGAATCAAATGTATTACGAGCAAGTATGCACACGCACCCTCCCTACAGGCCGATCATGCAGACTGCGTGGGGCCTCACCTTGCGGAGGGGGCCTCATTTTGCGGAGGGGGCCTCATCTTGCGGAGGGTGCCTCAACTGTGCCGAAAATATGCGCTTATGCGACGCAATTAGTGTGGTGCGGCACGGTTTAGCCGCTGCGAGGCTCCGCACCTAGCAAACAGAGGGCCTCATCGTACAACTTTGCGTCTACAACTCTACACTTTACCTCTTTATCATATATTTTTCTGTGCAAGGACAACAAAGTTGAATCTCTTCTAAAAGTCATGGCATCTCTACTCTTTCAATTCTGACAATTTTTCTCTAATCTGTCAAGCACTCAAGTGAAAACGGTTGGTGTTGTTTTTCCCATTTTGTGCACATCTGCTGGTTTTTCTGATGTCAACAACATACTGACCATGTTGGTTGGTGGTTGTCTACCAAAACTAAACACTGATTTCCCAGCATGTTGTAGGTTATAAGCTGTGAACCACAAAAAAAAAAATCCTTGTGGTTTATAGTCAGTACCAATTGGGGCGCTAATTTTATAATCGTCCGCTCCCTTGACACACATACAAGAAGTGAATTCAGTGGCGAGCAGGTTAGTGTCTCATGTAGTTTAAATGTCTCTTTTTAATATGTTCTAAGTGTAGGAGCTTCACATAAACAACCAGATTCATATGATTTATTGTAGATAATCAAGGTTGGAACACATTTTGTTCTTTAAGATACCGACGTTTATTTTCCATCACCATGTTCCTGCAGCTCTGTGAAGCAGTGTGATGTTTCTCAAGGAACGTTTTCTTTTGCAAAGTATTGTTTTACACTTTTGGCACAAAGAGGACACATCTTCAGTAAAAAATGTTGAATGTGTTTCCTGTCTTGTTTTATGATTACAAATGCATGAAGTAAGAAGGTGACATTTCCTGAGAACATGAACTTGGCAGCAGCATGTATTGTACAATTATGAATTTGAATACACCAAAGACAAAAAAGAACGTGTGGCATGTGTCTACCCGGTAACTTTCCACTTTCAGTCTGTAACTTTCCACTGAGGCTGTTTAATGTCATCCTCACTCACTGAGTAGTGCTGTTGACGTGTTATGCTGACTTTAGAGAATGTGACACAGCTTGCTTCACTTGCTATGACCTGCTGGGTCATTGTCACGACTCAGGGACGCATGTTTTTATATCATATAGATGTCCAGTACATCATGATAGAAATACATGCAGCAGGTAATGGGTACATTTCCAAAATATTTCTAACATAGTGAGTGTAGCCCGTTATGGAGGACGATTCATTTAGACTACTAAGCACACTTTGATTGAGATGAATGGGAAATAATGCAATCATTTGACCAATCAGGATCAAGCAGTCTTTTTCTTAATTAAGAATACATTCGAACTAACTTTCCGATTGAATCTGAACGCTGGGTTTTCCCCTCCTTAGGCCTCGCCCTGCTGTTAACAGATCAAACTCACCGGGGCATGACGCCTGTCAATTGAACACAAACAGACAAGGCAGCCAACATTGGCATTTTGGAAAAGTTTAATAAGAGAAAGCCAGCATTACAAAGTGGGGGCATAATGGTCTCAATGATAAAGCTTACATGCTGATGTTTACAGATCCAACCATCTTGGTTCATGCTAACATTTGCTAATTAGCACTAAGAGTACATTTGATGCTGGTAGGAAGGTCATTAGCTTTGCATGTAATTAGTCATAAACAAAACTATTGGACAACAAAAATAATGAGCATATCCCCGCTTGATAAAAAGCCAATGAAAGATATTAAAATCACCAAATGTTCTGGAAATCCAGCCAATAATTGGAGATATTTAAAAAAGAACAAATATCTATCTAATGGTGTTGATTGAAGACCAATCAAAGCGTCTCAAAAATCAATAGGATTCATCCTCTGTGAACCAATCCATCCTGTAGAGGTTGAAATTATTCCAAGTGACAGTTTGACATGTTTATAGTGTATGTTTGATGAAGGGATAATGCCAGATTAAACCAGAACAACCAGTTAGAATAGGCTTTTCTTTTTGCATAGAGCGAAGTGCGGGAAGGTATCGAGTTCAGAAGGGACTACTGTGCAAAGTTATGGGAAGGTTATATTACTATTTGTAGAAAAGTAATTTCACAGTGAACAAGCCCTTAATAGCCAATTAAACATTTATACAATAGCCAGGTTTAGAAATACCCCTCAAGTTATTTGTACTTAAACTTGCATAGAAATTGTCCAAAATGTCATTTTGCATAAAAAAACACTGGATTAAAAACAGGAGAAGAGAAAAGTGTTCTCCTTCACATCGGAAATCAGTATAATTACTGGCCATCAGCAATTATTACAAAAATATATGACAATTTACAATTAAGTCCTTATTCTTCCCAACACATCCTTGTGCAGCTCTCATGGTCTTACAAAGGTGTCATAGTAACACTGCGTTGAGATGTATAAGACTGAGAGGAAACATTTAAAACATAAAAGGATAATTTAAATCCTAGTGTTCGCAGACATCACACAAAGCAAAAGGAAGTGACGTTTTGTAGTAAAAAAATATAAAAATACTTTAAGTTGCACTCGGCAATACTGCAAAATGTACCTTTGTGCTTGCTCCACTAATTCATACAATTATATCTTCTTCTTTTTTTTACATTACATGTCACTTGTTAGACGCTTTTATCCAAAGTGACTTACATACTCAATACTGTGGACAATCCCCACAGGAGCAATTTGGGGTGAAGTGTCTCAGGGACACAACGACATGCTGACTGCAGTGGGGCTTGAACCTGTGTCCCCCTGATCCCAACACCAATGCACAACACGCCTTTTTTGACCTCTATACTGCGACAGACCTCCCGATAGTCCCCTATAAAAAGACGGTTATTTAATTTAGTGATACCTATGATACAGTGTTTGAAAGAGTATCTTCTAGCGTTAAAAACAACCTTCACAACGAGCAGAATATAAAAATGTGAATTCATTTGTATTTCCATCCACTTCTGTGGCGAGTATATTAAAGTGGACACTTAATCAAATAGACAAATATAGTGTATACAATCCATTTGATAATACAACAAAGTTCTTATTGGTTTAAAAAAAAAGAATTGGTTCCCGAACCTGATCGAAACCCAATATTTTTGGGGTAATAGCTCAAATTTTTCCCGTTTACTGAACCTGTTCACAATGCTCTTTTTTCATTACAGTTGAAGAGAAAACGGCAGCATAGTTTCCCTCCTTTAGTTCATTATTGCTTGTAGTTTATGGACCAACATGTCCCAGCCTATAAGGAGAAGTAGATGAAAATAAAGATGCCCACAAAGCAAATGACCAGCAGTGCCGTGTTCAGGATGATTTTGGTTCTTCGAGGTTCGTGCAGAAGCTGGTCCAGGATCTGCTCCTGGTCCTCAGCGCTGAGGACCCGAGCTTGGGACGGCTTCTCCTGGAAACCACAGACAAACTCTAAAGCTTTCAAACATTTCCCTCCCTCCACGACTCCTCCTCCTCCAAGACAGCCATCCTCCTCCCCCACTCCCTTCCTTTCTCCCTCTTCTTCCATTGATGGATCAGAAGCTAAATCCCCGACTATGACAGCGTGACCGTTGCTTGGCTGAGTTTCCTCATGATTTGCCTCGATCCCGTTGTCTTGCTGATCCGGACTCTTTTCTCTCCCAGTCAAACCGTTTGCATGGTTCAGAGGCTTCAAAGCAGTCATATCTTCCCCCGCTTTCTCCCTCAGTCTCTTCCTCCTCCTTAGCCCCCACAGGGTGGTGGTTCTGATCTGTTCTTGATCCGGCGGAGGAGTGCACAGACTCACAACGACAGTCACAATACCCGACACCCAAAACAAGATGGCCGCCACGTACATGAAGTGAATATCTTTGAT